TCTTTATATACAGTCAGTGATCGTCTTTATATACAGTCAGTGATCATCTTTATATACAGTCAGTGATCGTCTTTATATACAGTAAAACTGATTCCAGTGTTTCACTCTCACAACCTTAATCTCCTCAGACAGACACAGGTTCAATGACCATTGAGCCGCTGACTGATCACTGGACAACCCGCTCGACCCCCTGAGCCACGGCCGCCAGCACACACAAGACGATTCAACGTAAACCAAGAGAAAATCTTATGATTTATATAATTCGTCCACCGTCCTCGTCTTATCTGGCCTCAGGTCGGAGGTCAGACGTCTCCTCACTGTCCAGCTCTTCCTGGTTGATCATGATCATCTCTTTACCGTGTCTCAGGTCCAGTCACACATTTCTCGTGCTCTTGCCCTTGTTCACTAAACTGTACGAAATGGACCAATCACAGTGGAGCAGGCGACCAATCAGAGCAGACTCTATCCAGAGGAGGGTGTTAAAGAGACAGAGACTGAAGAGAGGAGCTGCAGCGATGTGAGGACAGTGTTTGTCCCACTGACACAAGTGTCCTTCAGCCAAGTTATTATTATTTAGTGTTTTCTGAACATTAGGGCATGAAAACATTTTACAGTCGTGACACTAATTCAAACTTTCAACCTGAACAGAGGTTTCTCAGTGTCTCCAGTGGTGGAACCAGCAGAGCTCACCTGTGCACAGTAGAGGTTCATGAGGCTGAGCGTGAAGAACTGCAGGCAGACGGGGAAGCAGTAGAGCAGCCAGAAGGCGAAGGGTCCGAGAGCGTTAGCGGTGACACAGTCTCTGAAGTAGAAGGAGAAGAGGAGGGCGCGCAGGGCGGCCCACAGCAGGCACAGGAACAGGAAGGCCGTCTGGTAGCTGAAGCGTTTGTGTCGGTACCTCAGCACCAGCCACAGCTGAGCGTAGATGAAGGCGAACAGCAACGAGTAGAAGATGGTGTAGGCGATGGTCAGACCCAGCTTCACGTAGGGAGGGATGGCAGGCGTGATGGTGGGAGGGGGAGGGAGGTGGGAGCCGTTCCCTGCGTGATGTTGCTCCTGGTTCTCCTCCATCACCTCCATCACCTCCCCATTCATCCCCCTGTGATTCCAGGCGAGGGGGGGGGTCAGAGCAGCTGATATGAAGAAGAAGAAGAAACGTGTTCGTCACTCAGATCCTCCAGCGTCTGACTCACAGGGGGAGGAGCCTCCCTCTCTGCCGGTGACTCCTGCAGCTCTATTGGAGGCAGCCAGTCACATGATCCTGCTCCTCTGCAGGTGATTGGTTGAGCTGGAGGAGGATGCTGCAGATCAGGAGAGGGAGGGACACACACACA